GTGTGTGGTGAAAGGTACATTAACAAGGTCGAATCGTTCTAGGTTAGCCTGTTTCACTTTGACTTTGGTGGTGGACCTGAAGGCTTCTACTGTCTGGTCGCCCTTTTCTATTTTGCACTTGAAAGGCTTACTCGCACCGACATTTCGTCACACATGATGCAATCATGCAATTCTGGGAGTTGTGACCCTCACTGTCAAGATCCTGCTTAATTCGAGTGCAGAATCTTACTCTATAACACTGGTTAAAGGTGGAGAGAGGTGTCTCGACACCCAGTGGGCGTCAACTTCTGTATTTACTCACTGACCCTACGGAAATTCTCTTATGCAGTCTCATAGCAGGTTGTGTGTCGATCAGGCATTTCACGTGCTGACTTCAGGTTTACAGGAATGACTACCGAGGCGATGTGGTGCAAACGTCAGTGTTCAACAGACGTCTGACGCTTACGCCCCTAAAAGGTCTTACTGCCCATTGGTCTCCCATCACCGTGTTGCACTGCGGTGTGAAAGTAGCGAAGAAACGACTGCTTTGGGTAGTAAGAATATCCTGTCCTTTGTTGGGTCTTGTAGACAGACGACGTGGCTGCATGTAGGACAGGCGTGGAATCGGCAGTAGGTAGTCCTTTAAGTGGTCTACATTACACCATTTGCTTTTCTGCCATCGCACCTCTTTAATTGTAGCAGTTATGTGCGAATGACTGCCTTTTTGCTGTTACAGACTTCTACCGATCCCGTTATAGCGGTTGACTTCAATCCAATCGACGCAAACGCGCTCGTGTCTATTGGCAAAAGTCACTTGGCATTTTGGACATTGGAAGGCTCCAATCTCGCCAAGAAACAGGGTGTTTTTGACGTGAGTCAAGCCAATGGTCCCTTAAAATCACCCAAAATTAGTAGGATTGGACTCCACCAGGGAGACCAGATTCCAGTCGGTGCTTTGTTATGATTGGCTGTTGCTAAACCGATGAGAGCGCCGAAATCGTGTTTTTATTTGCGCCACCCCATTAAATTCTCCAATTTGCCGTAAATTCTATTGACCAATTTCACGCATTGCAAATTGTGTATTTTTTAGAGATATGAAAAACCGAAATTTGTGCTTTCAATGATTTTTGTGGAAAACGGCGACTTAATCACGGGTGATTCGAATGGGAACATATTTCTTTGGCCGAGAGGTATTCCAGTATTTACATGATGTTCTAAAGATTTCCCAATTGCTGAATTTTCGTGCCTCCAGAATGTATGCGTATTTATCTGCTGAATGTGATAATCCGCTTTGGTGAATGCATTGATAAGGCTTCACCTGATCACCGGTGGCTAGTAGCTTTATTCCCATTGACTACCGCATTCTTTCAAAATCCGAACGAAAACCTGGCGCTTTGGCCTCATAAACTTGGGATTTGTGAAATTGTAAGGTTCAAACAGGATCAGCCAAGCCGTCTTGGGCGTTCACGTGGGTGGCATCTTCGCACTTGCCTTCAGCAAAGCCGGTCATCTACTTTCCGGAGGCGGACGGGACAGTCGCATCGTCCAACTGGACTCATCATTGAATCCTACTGGCATTTTTGTCGAACTCAGTGCTTGGTACGGACCCGTGCGGACACTCGTTTCCGGTCCTGGCGATATTGTCATTGTTGGCACCACTCAGGGCGACATTCTCCAGGTGCGTGTTTGCCTGATCTTGAAACAAGCGCCCTATACTCTCTTCCTTTGCGAATTCAGGGTCAGCTTGGGGCGAATTTCAGTCCACTGGTTCAGAGCCATGGTGACGAGTTGTGGGGACTTGCAGCTCATCCGCAGAGCCATCACTTCCTTACCGGTGGACGCGATGGTAACGTTTTTCTGTGGGATTCACTAACTCGGCGGCTTGTGTGGGCAGAGAATCTCTCCGAAGAGATCATCTGTGCAGCGTTCTACCCAGCTGTGGTGAGCTCTTCCACTGCGGTGCCCAATCACACGGAGGCAGAAAGCGGTGGCGGGGGTGATCTCGCCGATTCCGTCCCCGTGGTCGCTCTGGGCACCACCTCGGGTCGGTGGATCATTCTCGACGCTGTACTGCATCAGATCATCGCTGCCCATCACGAAAGCCCAGAGCCTATTCAGTGTCTCGCCTATTCGCCCAGTAAGTCTCCACTCCCCGATTGACCAGCAACTGTCCAATCGGATAGAAGCATACACGAGGAAGTGTTTTTAAGCCAATCCTAAAGCCTGTCGAATGACGAATTGGTAAGGGGGATGGGTTAGGGTTAAAGATGCCTTTTTTTAATTTCAGATGGTCAGTTCATTGCCCTTGGTGGACGTGACAATAGCATCTATGTGTACAACGTTACGACACGCGGAACAAAGTATTCGCGACTGGGCAAGTGTTCTGGTCACTCGAGCTTCGTGTTGCACCTCGATTGGTCCGAGGATAGCCAATATCTGCGCTCGGTCTCTGGAGACCACGAGCTGCTCTACTGGTCCGTGGCCAACTGTCGGCAGGTAGGTCTAATTTCTGCAAAGTGTTGTTTGAAAAAAGCCTTTTTTATTGCTGCATTATCCCCTGTCTGCGAAGAATCTGTTGCCATCTTCTTCTTGGCAATGCCTAATACCTTTCGTGTGCAAAGAGGGAGAAGAAATCTTGGATTCTAAGAAGACCGTTTCTCACCTGTTTCTTATGATGTCCGGGTGTTTGGAATGCCTTTGAATTTGTTTCAAGGTAACACTTTCAAGTTCTGAAGGCAGAGTAACGGACCACTGCTGAGCCATTGATAAAATTGAGGTACTCTTATGTCCCAGGTAAATGTCTTCATGACTACCTGGCCCAATCTGCATCAACCTGGGAGGTGAGAAATTACCAAAACAAAACATGTATTGGAAGACCTGAAGGGTTTACTGTCAGGAAAGTCTGAACCTTTGATATGCGATGCGGTAAAGAACTGACCCACTCTTGATGGGAATAGACCGTGAATTATCCTCCTTCCATGGAAGTGTTCGTGTGGGTAGTGCACTTTTTAGCAAAGTCGATGTGCGTTGGTAATACAAAGCTGCCTACTGAAATGGCACCATAAGTAGCGCATTGTGCAGATGATTCGGGTTGGATCACTCATGGGAAAATTTGACATGAAAACCTGTTTCTGCAGGTGACGTCGGCAAGTGGCATGCGTGATGTGCGTTGGGCCACGCAGCACTGTAACTTGGGCTTTGAGGTGGCCGGAATCTGGCCTCCCGATTCCGATGGAACCGACATCAACGCCGTCTGTCGTAGCCATTCCACTCGTCTTCTGGCCACAGCGGATGATTTCGGTCAAGTCAACCTCTTCCGCTACCCTACCTGTCAGTTGAAGGTGAGTTGAGCTGTCAGTGCTGCTATCGCTTTGTCTGTTTCTGCTGTCGACATCGTCGTTCAAACAACTTTGTCTAGAGCGAACCGCGCTCCTACGGCGGCCACTCCAGCCACGTGACTAACGTAGACTTCCTCTTTGATGATTCGCGGCTTATCTCCATTGGGGGTGCGGATATGGCTATCTTACAGTGGGAGGTGATCACCTAGGCGTCCTCATATTTCCTCTCTTTCTCTCTTCCGATCGTGTTTTCAACCGCAGGCTGTGAGTCAACATCATCATTTCAAGTGACCATCATTTTTCTCTTTTTCTTCTTCCTCACACCTTTCCTCTTGTCTACCCAAATTTCATTCTAAATACTTGTGTGTGTGTGTGTGTGTGTGTGTGAAGAGTTAATATTTCTTCAACCTTTCTCCTCTGAATGCATCTTTTTCGCTGATTTTTTACTCGAAGTTTTATTTGACGGTTGGTTGTGCTTGTAATATCGGTATTGCAGTTAGTTGGGAGTGACCTCTAGGGTCGTTAAATCGCCTCCTCGAAGAGTTAATATGATTCCTAATATACATATAGAAAATTAGGACCGTTTTTGTGCCTGAGAAGGGTCAACAGCAAGCCCATCACAGTTCTACCCAAAAGTTTGTAGAAGGAGAGAGGAGTTTGCCGGGCTCTGTCTCGAACATCTCCTGCGATTATCAGTCAAGTCTCGACGTTGGTTGCCGTAATGTATGCAGTGGTGTTACTTAAGTTACTTCAAGATGAATAAGGGGGCAAGCAACTCAATCCCGTGCATGTTCAACTAAGGCTACCCAAAGTCACTGGGTTTGAATGTCGTTTGTCCGAGGTTTCCGGATTCATTTCCATTTCATACCAAACCGGATGATTTGCAACAACCGGTCAACGACCTTGCATTTTTGAGAACTGTCTGGAAGCCACGACACATCTGCAAAAGCTCCTACTGCAGATGTGTGAAGTGATAGGTCACCCAAGTGGATTACAAGCTACCCTGCATTGGTCTCCTATCAGTGAACAATTTTCCAGCCAAGTAGATTTTTGCATGTGTAGGCACTCACATTTCCACCTAAAGCTTATTAGCTCCCCTTCAATATGCGTCTACCCAACACCAACAGCTCCTCCAGCATTGGGGACCGCGCACCTCGGCGCCGAGACCCACCAATGTATTAAAACATCCGCAAGGTTGTTGTTGTTATCGGTGTTCTGATAAAAGTTCGATTGGTTTACAAATGCTAAATTGGACTGACCAAAGATCACACTTACACACTGCAAAAACATGCACCAAATCTTGGCACACTATTTTCCCTTTTTATGATTAATAGCAAAGTGGCGTTAATGTAAGTGAATAAAAACTGGCAGTTAAGTGGCGTTTATCTTTGTTAAACATAATTCATCCAAGTGTCTAGATAAGAGACATTTCCAAATGTGGAAATGTTGAGCCGATCCCTGTGACTTAGCAATCGGTAGGAGGGTGGAAACAATACCGTCTTTATTTGCCTAACCGGAAGTTAGCGTCACCATCACGAGTCTCCCGGATATATTACAAACACTTACCAAGTGGAGACCAAGGTACTGCTGTGGTTTTCTACCAGAGTGGGAATGGGTGCGGATCTGCCTCTCCGTACAATCTTGTTGCATTTTTTCCTGCAGCAAGTAGTTCCTGTGCACCAAATGCTTTCTTGCAAGAAAGGAAACATATTTAGGCCCTAGAGGTCATCCATTCGACACCATCCCATCCCTTTCGGATCCCACCAAACTCCACAACCTACCATCACAAAGAATTCAGAACCAGTTTATTCCGATATCTGACGCATCTTTATCAGTACACAGTTTGTGGGTTTCTGCTGGTTGATCTTCCCCAGGAGTTTGCTAAAATCGTTCTCATGACGAAAGGGGACACAACCCACACAAGTCCAGAGAGGCTGGCAGCTCCGGTTGTGTGAACCAGACTCACGCCACGAAACCAGCACCCACGGAATGCTATTTGCAATTTGAAAGGCAGTTTTGTGGCGGGCCAGTGATCCTCTAGGCGGAGAATTCACCTACGTCCCCCATACGCACAGGTCCCAGATTGCAGTATCCCAAGAATTCAAAAAAATGACTTTCCATAGTGCTAATATCCTGGAGACTTTCTTGAAAAACAGTGGGAAACACAATTAAGAAGGTGGCGACAATACAGGAGAACAGGGAGAGGTATTACTCGACAGAAGCATCTTCACTGCTGTCACGATGGAAGCAAAGCGACTGACCATGATGGATGGTCCGAAATTCGGATGGATGTAGACCTGCAGTCTGCAGCGCCTTCTCCAAAGCCGTTTTCGGTGCCATGAAGGACTAAATGCAAGGAAAGTCAGAGGCTTCGAAGCAAGGGTACAACAACAAGGGAATAAATATGTCAATGTAGCCCACTTACTTCCTGAGTAAGAGGAAAGGTACCCCAGTGGATACCGACGGAGTACTTGGCTCTGATATCCTTGTGAATTTCCACAGCCTCCCATGGATTCACGTGTTGCGACTTTAGAACCCACCTTCCCATTTAAATAAGAAGTGAACCAGTTATTATTGCCGGAAACTCTTCAGTGTGTAATAAAGCAGATTCTATGAAACCCATTAGCAAAAACAAATTGCTCCTTTAAGTTAATTTAAGCCACTGTTAATCTTGAGGCAATTAGGGAGTGTAGGCTTACTCAAATGTGATTGGCTAAGCTCACCGAGGTTCGTAAGCTCCGATCGGAATAGCAGCCACATCAAACGGACCAAGATGCCCACCGATTTCTTTGAACGCATCACAATAACCCGTATCACCACCAAACCAAACGCGATGTTTGGGTCCGATCAGAGCCCAGCTTCCCCAGAGTGTCTGAAGCACAAACATCCTACCGATTACTGGCTGACCAATCGAATGCTGACGCCCCACCACTCAACATCAATTACGCACAGCAAAGCTGTCAAACAGAAAGTTCCGCGCTGACCAATGCTGAGTTGGTGTGAAGACGGCCTTGACACCGGTGTCTCCGACTGGTCGCTCCTCCCACCACAGAAAGTCGTGCACACGACTCTCATTGGCTTCATTGGCAGTACTGAGAATGAAGTCACGGCACCCACTGGGCACGAACCAATGGGCTTGAGGGAAGCGGTCACTAAGGCCACGAACACTGTTCACGTCTAGGTGATCGTAGTGGTTGTGCGATATGACAACTGCATCGATAGGTGGTAGGTCCTCTACCTAGACGAAATGAAGGCATGAAAATTTCAAATGGGCACCAAGGCAACGGTGGCGGCAGTATCAAGAAGGCACAGTAAGAAGTGGAGCAAGATTTTAATAAAATTATTTAAAAAGTTTTTTTCTCATTGGGTAGTAGGAAAGGAGTTGGATTTATGCCAAAATACGGGGTGTGAGGCTAAAGTGCAGAGAGGCGGCAGAAGGAAGGTACTCGAAGGTCACCCCACGTGAAACAGGGCAGTAGGAGCTCGCACTCCAAGTT